AAATACTTTTACAGCAGTGCTGACCAACTCTAAGGCCTGAAAGCATGGTCTCCACTTACTGCACCTGTGCCACTGCCTTTTCTCTGTTTCCAAGGAAAATTCAGGGGGCCAGTTGTTATCTTTAAAGGTGAAGAACAGAATACTTAAAGAATGGCTTCCCTCCATAGGAAGGTGACCTCCCAGAAAGCTCCCCTAGCAAGACCTTCCTGTAAGTCTCTTTTCCGTCCAAGGGTTAGAGTTGTATGTGGAGGAGTCTCAGTTTCACGTACATCATGGGATCTGAGCTAGCGGTGACTGGCCAAGAAAGGGATATTGGGGTTGTAGGAGACACCTCGATGCAACTGTGGACCAGGTGTGAAAGCTGGTGTAAAAAGGCAAAAACCACATTAGGCATAATTAGGAAAGGAATCAAACACAGAACTGGCAAGATCCCTTTCCTACTTTTACAGATTTATTTATGCCTCTTTATGCCGTTCATCAGCAACAGCTCTAAATACATGGTGAGACCACACTTGGGATATTACATTCAGCTCCGGCTACCGCTTCAGAAAAGGGAGACTGCAATGATTAAGCGGGTGGAGCACCCCCTGTAAAGCAGGGTTACAGCAGCTGATGTAGCTTCATGTTAAAAAGGAACAAAGGGGACATGGCAGAGATGTACAAAATTATGCCTATTGTGAAGAAGTAGACAGAGAAACATTTTCCTCCTGCTCACGTAATACTAGAATTCAATACAACATCCCATGAAGTTGACTGGTGGATCCAGGACAAATAAAAGATGGCACTCCTTTATGCAGTACACAGTATAACTGCAGAATCCACTTCCACGTGACGGTCACCAAGTTGGCTATTTTTAAAAGGGGATGGAACACCTTCGAGGAGGATGCGGCTATCAGTCGCGGCCAGTCCGAAGGGCTGCATGCGACCTCCAGGACCGGAGCCTGAGCACCTATGTATGCACACCAGTTGCTGAGGGACCTGGTGCTCTACTCACATCCCACTTGTAGGTTTCTAATTAGTTGGCCACTGTATAAAAAGGAAACAGGACTACGTTTCCTTCATCTGAACCAATTATGGCTTTCCTTATTTTCCTATTTACTGCTGTTTCTGTATAGATCTCTTTTTATTTTGTAACTTGTATTATTACTGAATCGTTATTGCATCTTATATGTAAAGGTCTTGAGTGTCTTTGTCAGAGGTAAATGAATAAGGTAGAAATATCCTAATAAAGTCAGCAGGTACTTCAGCAACCAGGAATCTGCAATCACCTTCTATGGCCCTTACAAAAAGCCTAAGCAGAAGCATTTTTTGGTTTCCATATGGAACATTTGCTTAGCTGCACGGAAACCTTTCAAATTGTGCAGGATTAGAGAAGTCTGCTTTGGCAGATCAGTCTGTGTTTCTAATCATCTGGAAAATGAAATCAGTTTCACTTCCATTCCTGCTGTGGAATCACTCTTAAGTGGCTTAGATACAATCATTACCAGAAGGTAAATACATAGCATCTGGATGTGGCAAGCCTAGATTACTCAAAGCATTTGAAAAAAGGAGATTCGCCTTAGTTTGTTTTAAACAAGCCATCCTATTTTTTTCTGCAAGCCTCAGAAAAAAATAAGAAAAACAAGTTAGAATTTTATGCATAAGAACTACGATGGCTTCTCCAATGGTCCCTTGAACAGTCTGGAGCAGAATCACAGGCAAAAATAGGAATTCCTTTAATAACATGGACTTGGGAGACATCTACAAGATCAGTATAAGCACTGTTATTTCTGCAGTTAATTATCTGAGACCACCTCAGCATCGGAAAATGTACATATCATTTAATCTGTTTTTACCTGCAGTATTGAAACTGTCCTGTAATGCTTGTTCACCATCATTAGGTGCCGCCGTGGCACAGGAACAGGACTCCCTTGGAAACTGGTCCCTAGCTTACTTCCTGTGCTAGGAATGTAAAAGCACTTACACTGCACAATTGCACAGGGAGGCAATTATGCGATAGAGCCAGGACAAATTAGCTTGCACAACAGAACCTTTGGAAAAAAGAAGAGGTCCGTTTCAGTGCACTGTAAATTATATTTTCTTCTACATAGTTTTGAGTGCAAATACCCGTCTGAATAATAGAAGAAAAAGGCCCTACTTAAAGCCTCGTATAAAGTAGTAAACATGCAAACCATTAATCAGTTTGCAATAAAGAGGGATACCAGAAGTGGCTATAATTTTGGTACAATTAAAGAAATAGTCCAGCACTTGTGTCCTAGATGCTATGGTCCACCAAGCCAGGAGTGTGTCTGCTGCCTTCTCATTAGAAAAGCAGGCCTATCCATTGCTCTCCTGGGGCCAGAAGGAGTATAAATCCTTCGGTTGATTTCAGTCTATGTAGCCTTGGAAGCACTGGGTGCAGAGGAGGCAGGGAGACGAAAAGTCTAAGTTGCAAGTGTTTTGGATGAATCTGGAGCCAGGACTAATATGGAATTAACTATGTGTAACTTTGAAGAGTTTTGTGATTATTTTTCAAATAACTGGAATTTTTATGTGCTGGTGTCCAAAAATACTAACTACTGCAGAGTCATCAGAAAAGGTACATGCTTTGAGTCAGACTGCTCATTGCATACATTTTTAAAAGTTATGCACATGGTGCCATCCAAAATATTAGGGCTAAACCACCTGTAAAGAACTTCAAAGCAGTTAGCACTCGCTCACCCGTCCTCATTGCTTATTCACATATGTATGAATTACTAAGCCATTAACATTTGCTACCACCAAACATATGGGGAGGCACAACTGAGCAAATCTGGATAAAGTAAAAGGGAAAGTATTACCTCAAATAATGTAATTTCAATGACAAAAAATCTACATTTTAAGAGCAATAAGGACATGTTATCCGTTTTTCAAGAGACAGGAAGCCAACTCTTCCAGTTATTACTAACAAGAGATCAGAATCATAGCATTACATGAGTTCAGAAATCAAAATTCAAATTATGCTACAAAGGAGCCCCGAGAGAGACAATGAAAGAAAGCCAAACACCCTGCAGGTCTGGCTGTAATCCAGACAGGAAGAGTTACAAGTGCCTGGAATTTACATCAGCCATTTGAAGAGTGAACAAGCATCCCCCACCCTAAGTTTACGCAGACTCAAAACACAAAAGATTTGGGGTCTTTCTGCTAGGATACCTCAAGCAGCTAACACATTAACACAGGTCCCCAAGCTTTCTGGCCCCATGGGCACATTTGGGCATTTAAGAATCTGCTCAGGGCACCCACACAAAATGGCTCCATGGAGGATTTTGAGTCATATGATGACTGCAGTGGGATCTGGCTAGCCAAAAGCAAAATAAAGAGGTGGGAGGGGAAGGAAATATCAAAGCAGGAGGCTGGTAGAAAAAGGAAGATGCAAGGCAAAGGGATAGAGCAAATCTTAAAGCTAGAAAGGGAGAGAAAAGAGAGCATACTAATTTTTCCATTTGTTTGTTTGTTTGTTTTTAAGGGACAAAGGGGAAGCTTGGAAGGTGCCACCAGAAATTCCCACAGAACACGTGCTGGGGCCCCTTATATTAACAGAATGCAAACCAGTACTTCTGAAAAGTATTTCAATGAAAGTTTCACATTCCAATATAAACTGTGGCAACCAGTGTAAGCTTGATGAATGCTTATCTGCACATCCATCTCCTAGGAAGTGCTTTTTCAAGCATGAGGGCCTCCGTGCCAAATCTGGACTATAAAATAGTTCTGCTTCCTGACATCTTGTAAGGGAGTACTAGTAGTTCTGCCTTATCTTTCCGTCTTGTACCGACTGAAGGGCGTTTTTTTAGATATCATAAACTCGAGAATTCAGATTTTACTACAATCCAGTCCTGGCCAACAGCACAGAATAGCGACCAGGCATCAGTCTCTGGTTGCTACTGGAAACAGGCAAGTGACCTAACAGGCTGAGAAAAAAAAAAGAGAAAAGCTACTTTAGCCTCTTCACTCCACGACACGGAGGCATAGGCTTCTGCAGGTTTCTTATTCTTATGCAGGAAAAATTACACATATGCAAGACAAAACCTGCAAAAATAGTAGGACACTCCTGTCAGCAAGCTACTGTAGTGTCTGTGACATTATCTGAAGCCTGCACAACATTTTCCAATAGCTCATGGGGAGGGGGCAGTCCTTTTAGAGACCTGTAAACTCCACAGCAATTAAACTTGAGATACCGAAGAGCTACGGCAAGATGAAAAGGCTTGATATAGAGTCTCTGATAGAAACAGTTCTAACCCCTGTAAGGAACATCTTGAGTCCAAGACTGCAGTGTTAAGTCCAACTCCTGCAAAAAGATTAATTAAGGCTTGAGAATGGACACTTTCCCAGTCTCCTGTGGTAGGTAAGAATCTCCTCAAGGTGACAGAATTTTCATAAAACAGAAGGGCACCACAAAGGACTAAAACAAGGGGATAGGTAACTTTTGCTGGTAAATGCTACAGAGGTACAGGAAAGGCTACATTAATGGATCCAAATGCGTATCACTGTTTTAAGAACTCAGCCACTTGTATCTCTTGGATTAATCACAAGACTGTATAACAATGCTTCCCGTAAACCCTTATTTGGAGAATAAATGGCATGCTTTAAGTTTGTGCATAATGACTAAATTTATGAGAGAATTGCCTCCTCTTCATATGGATTAAGGAACAGGTATATTCAAGAAATGTGACATGGTATCCAAACAAAAAAAAAACAATTAAAACCATCTCTGGGTGAAATGTTTGTCCTAAGTTACACTCACAGTAACTTAAAAGCGTTCTGTTAGCAATCCTGCCTTTCTCCATAAACCTCTGCAAGGGGGAATGTGTCCTTGAGGGATTCTCCTCTTCACATCAATGCAGCATTTGGATAAAGACTGGACTAACAATGGAACTTCTGTTCCTGTTTTCCCGAGGAGGAAAGGGGTAATACCTTGCACTGATTCCCCATTTCTCCGTGTGGCATGAGAGCATCTGTAAGAATGAACAGCATTAGTACCTTACCTAAACTGGTTGGCTTTATCAGTTCGTCCAGCAAGTCGTAAAAGGGAAGCTTCTGAAGTTTTATGTCTGGATGAACAGGGTGGAGAGCTGAGGTAAGATGGGGCAGTTCCAGTTCATGTTTAGGTCCCAGGAGGGAAACAGGGAGCAATGGCGATGTTGCGGGGTGGCCATCGTAAGCAAGCTGAGGAATGGCGGATGGCGACAAAGTGGCCGATATGGAACTTGAGTGGACACTGGGGATGGACAAGTCCGCAGGCGTCATTATTTTCTGAGGGAACCGCCGCCTGTAAAGTTCTTTGATTTTCATTTGGACAGCAGGACTGCAGCCGGCCTTGAGCAAATGCAGGGCTTTTGTAAGGAGTTCGTGTTTGCGGCCGTGCTTGTTCCTTCCTGCGTATCCCAAAAGCACTTGCAGCTCAGAAACTCGAAGGCTCATCACCATTTGCTTGAAGACAAACACAAAGGCAAGACAATGGTTATGAACGCAGCACCAACAACGCACATGGGCTCTCACTGGGGATGAAGGGAGAGTTAGGTCCCGCCAGGATGGCCACATCTTGGGCACCTCAAGGACCGCCTTCAGTTACGCCAGGTAATCTTGGGGAGCGATACGCCTCAAAAGAAGCACATAGCCTCCAGACTGCCTCGAAAGCTTTGGGAACTTTTGCCAGGGTTTAATGCCCACAGGCAGAGAGAACCAAGCCCTGGGTTGCACTCATGCAAACACACACAGCACGTAGAAAGTTTATTCATCAGAAAAATATAGAAAGGCACAACCTTTTAACCTGAGGTTGTCGAGACAGCAAATACACCTGTTGCATCCCAAACGTACCCTGGATTTCTAAGGAGAGAGAGAGCTTCCTGCCTAACAGAGAGGGAGAGAGACTGATAGCGGAGGACAGTACCTGTCCTGTAGCAGCAGAACCTGAATTAAGAGCTTGTGTGTGCAGAGGAGAGTCCCCTTTCTAAGCCCTTTCTATTTACACCACCACCCAGTCCACAAGTTACGGATGTCTGAGTTAAGAACAACCCCCACTTACGAATGAGTAAAGCCAGAAGTCCTGCCTCACCCCTGAGTGGCAAGTGGGTGCCCGTCGGTGGCACGAGGCGAGGGGCAAGCAAGCAGGCGCACACAGGCACCAAGGAGAGGAAGGGGGGGGGGGAAGAGGTGAGCGGAAAAGGCAGGACCACTTCTGCAGCGGTATGCGGATGAAAAACTAGTGCATCCAAGCAAGTGTGTTTCGAATCACGTGGAGTTAGTGTGGCCTTCTGTAATTTTGTACTGCATTTGGTTTGTAACCATGCCTCCAAAGCATAAATCCAATGCAAATGCAGGCAATGTGTCGGAGAAAATAAAGACAATCACAATCAATGTGGAAATAATAAAATCATCAGAGAATGATGAGATGCCATCATTCACTGGGAAAGTGTTAGATTTTGGTTGTTCAACACTCGGACTCTCTCTCTCTCTCACACACACATACACACTACCCAACCTTCTCCAGTACCTGTAGTTATTTATAATTAATGTATTCTACTCAATTTTAAAATGCTGTATTATGTTTAAGCTGCTTTGGTGGATATGGAAGTATTCTTAAGTGTTTTACCTGATTTTTATACACGTGATCTGACTTACATACAAATTTGACTTTAAAGACGATCTCAGGAACGGAACTGGTTCTTAACTCAGGTACTGGGCATATTTCTCTCTGAACATGTGGCTAAGGGAAATTTCCAGGAATATACTAGTGGGAAAGTGCTTGATTGCTGCTTGATGACCTTAACTATTGTTTCTCTGGGTAAGAGGTAAGTTTTCTGCAGGGTGAATAAAAAAATGATTTAAAAAAAAATTAAAACCATTTAAAAAAAAATAAAACAATTTTAAAGAAAAAGCCTATCTAATCATAGTTTTTAAGATTCATAATGAATAACCTTTTGGTTATAATGTAAGGAAAATAAGCTTTCATTATGTAGGCATAAGGCTTTATATTCATGCAATCTTTCAATATTTTGGTAAATAAATTCCAGAAATACATTCACAAGGTCATGCTCTTCCAGAGTTTCCTGAAAGATGAACAGGCAATTTTTCTATCCTGACGTTATTATCACATATGCTTGGTTTTACCTGGCTTTTTGTTCCTGCAGAGATCACATAAAACTTCTTCACAACAAAAATGTTATAACATAAAAATATAAAATAAAGCATAGCCTAGGTGTACCATATCATTATCTCCCTGAAGGAGAAAACTGAGAATAGCACCAAGGCATAAAAGAGGCCCAGTTTGGGACTATTATACTGAGATGCGATGCATGGGGACTTCAGCCCTCTCTGAGGGGCAGGGTAAAAATCGGGGTTCGGGTTAGAAAAACCAAGGTGCCTATGAAGCTTCCGACACTTGGAATGGCTGTAGAACAGGCTGAAACAACGAGATGGGCAGAAAAATCTCCAGGAAGTGGCCCTTTTGGAGATCCCTGTGAGGCATGGGGACTTGTGCCATATTTACGTTGTGTTTCCTAGGTTTTTCATGTAAGGTAATTTTCAGGTGTCTCCAGGCAATGGATTTTCCTTCCTGTAGGGTTGTTTTGCCTCATCTCTTTATAGCTGGGTGATTTGAACTCATTCCCCACAAGAATTCCAGGATTCCTTTTATTTCATGCTGGCTCACACAGGATATTTTTCCCCTCTTCCTGACTCCAAACGTTCCCTACATCACCCATGGCTTGAAAGCGTGTTCTGGCCTGAGGGCTTATCTTCATTTTGATACGCACACATTTCCCTTCTTCCACATGTTGCTCCCTGTACACTCCACTCCCTCATCCCCACGAGATTGGCAACCAGAGCGTCTAGCCGGGGTCGGCAACCTTGAACACTCAAAGAGCCATTTGGACCCATTTCCCACACAAAAGAAAACACCGGGAGCCGCAAAACCCTTTTGACATCTAAAATGAAGATAGCACTGCATATATTGGTTTTTTACCTTAATACTATGTATATCTTCATTATGATTTAGCTGCAGCTCTTGTTCAGTCACTAAACACTGTTATTTTTAATCTTACATTATAAACTAGTAGGACTCCTTTCATGTATTTTGAATAGGAGACCAGCTTCCTGAAGAGTCAAAGTCAGTGCTAAAGGGCTGCATGCATTAAACAGCAAACCCCGTAAGTTCATCAGCAGTAAAAGCAAATGAATTTACCCAGGTACCATCAAACGTTTGGTTTTCTTCAGAAACTTTTCTTTTCTTAGATTTATCCATGGTTGGCCGGGGGGGGGGGGGGGGGAGCTCAGTAAATCTGTGCTGGAGATAGAGGTGTGTTTAGTGACTGATTAGCAGATAAACAGTCAAGTGCTGTGAATTGTGACAGGTCCCAAGTGCAGTTTTTAACATTCAGATGAAGGAGATTACATTGGGACAAAGAGAATCTTTCAGTTTTGTGTAACAGGAGAGCCTGCAGGAAGCTTGTTTAGCAGAGGAATGGAGCTTGCTTATGATTTACTTAACTAGCTAGCACTGCATTCCTGAGTGGCGCTTGGAGCAGATCAGCGGCTGTGCCAGCGCGTCTTCTGAGCGATGGAGCCACAGCAGAGGGGTTCAAGAGCCACGTGTGGCTCCGGAGCCACGGGTTGCCGACCCCTGGTCTAGACCTTTGCCAAGGGAAATCCATCAGGCCCTGATGGTGTGATGCAAGGTTCTTCAAAGATTTCGACCCACAGGCACATTTAGGAAATTCCTGAGGGCACCACCACAAAATGGCCTCCATGGATAGACACAACTGGGCTGAAAAGAGGCATGGGAGAGGGACAGGCAAGAAGCTGGGAGGGAGGGAGAAAACAGGAAGGCAAAGGGGTAAAGGCTAGAACAGGAGACCTCCCTAACATTTTCAAAGTTAAAAAACAATTTTTTTGAAGGGAGCAGGAAAATTAGAGCTTTTGAACATGGTGTTGGGAATCCCTGACTTAGGGCAAGTTAGGACTTCATTTATGGTGCCTCCAAAGTACTGAAACTATTACTTACTGCTTATACTTAACAAACAGTTACAATCCATCACTAACTTCTCCTAACCGAAATTAGTGGGACCGATGCACAAACATGGGACTTTTTTCCCCAAAGGGGCTTGCATAAACTTCTTTTTAGTTGGAAGATGTTGATCTGCTCCCATTCATCTCAGCACGGTTGATGCAGAAGGTCCTTGCCACGGTCCCAGGACATAAAATGAACATCTTGAACAACCTGCGTTTAGGAAATTCCTAAAGTTTCATTTTAATAACTTAAAGCTTTCCTCTAGGTTCAGGTCTCTTGTTTACCCTTTCTGCCATGGTAAACGACCAGCCAGCTCTACCAAACTAGGTGTTCCAGAGGTTTCCACAAATCCTGAAAAGAAGAGGAGATGAAGCCTGCCCTCTCCCCAGTCCCAGTATTTAGCTAGTCTAGGATTTGTTCTGGCAGGAAGCATTTTTGAATGACCAGCAAGGCCAAACATATTTTTTAGCTCCTAACATAAAATGCAAGGGTGGGTGGGCGGGAGAGAGCAATTTTTTAAAACAATGACTTCTTCTAATGTGAACAAGCACCATATTATTTGTGGCCTAGAACAAAAATATTTTACTATATGAAGTAACAAGTTAAAATATTGCCACATCCAGAGCCACATCATTTCCAAAATACATATAGTAAAATTGCCAATCATTTAATATTCCCTTCAGCTCTAGAAAAAAACACAGACTTGCTTATCTTAAAGAACTTCTAGGAAAGAGAACACAATCAAAGCAATCCATAGTTAATGAATGGCAAATATCAGACAATAAAATTATGCAGGGCCAAGTTGTAGCTTATCAATTAAAACCTTTAGGAGAAAGCCATTTCGTTGTCAATGATACGGTGTTTCTTTCAAAACAAAAAGCTATTCCTCTTATCCCAAAAATTACTTTCCCAGAATTCCAATTTACTGTGCCTTATAGTTGCATATTTTATTACATCTGCATAACGTCTGGACTCTCCAGAGACACACAGCTGCAACAGCAGGGGTGTGAAGTGCAATGCTCTGGCCCACCATGCTTCAGAGCATGCAAGCCTTTTCTCTCTTCCAGAGCCTAAAAATGTTTCTGCTGGTAACTAGAATGTTTAGATTCTAAACTGGCAGCCAGAAGCTCTTCTCAAGACATGAGAATCGGGACCCAGGTCTTAGTGGTAGTGCTTTAAAATGTTTTCAAAGCACCCTAATCAATTTGACACAGATTATTTAACCAGCAAGTACAGAGATCACTCAATTCCTATGGAAAAAAAGCACTTAACTATGAACACAATTGTCTGCAGTATCTCTAATGCCTCTGGAATCACTAAATCACGGAGCTGCATTAAACAACATATAAATAACAATACAATGACCAAAGTTAAATAAAACATCGGAATAGCAAAAGTCGACAACCCACAGCAGTTAAAATAG